ACCAACCCTACTGCGAGAAAACTGTTGGACAGTTTCTTCGCAGAGGGGTGCCGTGGCCGGGCGGAGCGTCGCAGCTCGCCGCGAAATCAGACCCTTGATAGCGATGCCCGCCATGTGTTGGCTAGGGTGCTTAGAGCGTGTGTATGTGCCCAATGTATCACGAGCGTGGGGCGCGGAGCAGGCTTTGCAGCTACGACGCAGCCAGCGTGGCATGCCTCCACTGTGCACAGTGGACCAGAAGACCGGAGGAGGCGACCAAAATCCCGGACGCGTTTTGAGATTCATAGTCGCCAAACGGGACTCGAGCCGAACGTGTGACCCCACCAATGGATTGCTCTCCGAACGAGGAAATCCAGATCCCACGATCGGTTCGAGTCCTGTTTAGCGACTCTGGAGCTCAAAACGCGTCCGGAGTTTTGGCCGGCGGCGCCGGTCTCCTGCACAGTAAATGTCTTACGGTGAAAGGCTGCACCAACATATTATGGTGGAGATTTTCTCCATAATACCAACGAAATTCGTCAAAATATCTATAAGGTACAGTGAATTCTCAATGGTATGTTACGAAGTCAGCTGCACCACCATAATATGGAACATTTTCACCATAATATGGAGAATCTTCACCGTACACTCTAAATGTCTTACGAAGAAATTTCCTATAATACGAAGGAAATGGCGCAAGCATAATACGAAGGTAGTTTTTCTTCGTAATACGAAGGTTTTTCCTTGTATCTTACAATGAAAAAGCTAAAAAGATTCGTATTACGAAGGAATATTGCTTCGTATTATGCTTGCGCCGAATTCACTGTAACATACGAATAACATAGGTCAAATTTCATTGTAAGACATTTAGAGTGTAGAACATTTAGAGTGTGGCCGCCACTGTGGGAGGTTGACCGTGGTTATGAGTCCCCTCCCCGGCGGCATGGCGCGAAGCTACGCGAAGCAGGCCGGGCCGGCGGGCCCCCCTGACGCCTCCGGGCCCTCCGGGGATTCCGGGGTCTAGTGGCGCTCAGGGATTTCATTAAGTGGTTCTGCTCCCTTATTCATGACTTGATGCGTGGCGATGCGCGGCCGGGGCGTCCGAATGAACGTCTCGGCCGTCTGATTGCGGTACACGGCGTCGGCTCGCATCGCCGGGCAAGGCCGGCCAAGGCAAGGCCAGCCGAGGAGGCCGCGCTTGTCCGGCTCATCTCGCACAGTCGATTGGAACGACGGAACCCGCAGCGCTCTTGAGCCGAGGAGCAAACAACTTCGAAAATATTTCGAGGGGTCCCATTCAAAAGATCTCATCTGGTCGTTTCCGCACAAACAATCTTATCTGAAAGGCAAGCAAATTTCGCCACTGAGAAAACCTTACAAACTATTTCAGGCCTTGCAAAGAAAAGTTGCTTGTTAACAAAGTATTTTGAGCATACATAAGCTTACAAAGAAAATAATTCGCAATTTACGAACTATTTCTGCGTATTAGTTTTTACTATGTATGCTCAAAATACTTCGTAAGGTTTTAAGCGTGTGTTCCCTCTTAAAAATTGTCGCGCAGAAACGACACTGCCGAAGGAATGCCGTCCAGGCAATCACCGGCGGTGGCCAAAGAGAATCGTCAGGGATTCTCCCATTGCTGTTCACAGTGGGCTGGCGGGTCCGAACGGGTGTGCCCCTCGGTGCCGAAAAACAGGCAGCGGGCGGAATTCTGGGAACCCAGTAATAATGGATGCTCGTTCGACTCCTCAGTTCAGCGAGGGGCCCCACCCATTTGAGTGCGACCTCCGCCCGCCTCCACACGACGCCACTGAGGTGCGAAAATCCAAACGTAAAAGTCAAAGGGAGACAAAATAAAAGGCTGCCTTGGGGGTAAAAAAAAATAAAGAAAAAGACAGAAAAAGTAAAGTGGTGGAAAAGGGTGGCGGAATCAATAAACCCGTTTAGCCCCGAGCGGCTTAGCCGTTCACGTGCGGTTGTACGTCGTGTCCACTGCGTCCGGCGGGGCCCCGCCAGCGCACCGACGCGTCCCCGGATCGGCTTTGCGGCTCACTCTCTGGCCGGCAGCCCTGCCAGGTACAGAGCCAATTTGTCGGGGGCGTTCGCTTTGCGCGCTGTGCGGCGCTGTGCGGCGCCGTGCGCGGCCTGACGGGGCGGGGGCGTACCCGCAGCACCGCGCGGTACGTACGCGCCCCCGGGCCATCCGCCCACCCCATCAGCGTCATGCGAAGCCCGGCGAAGCCCCACTTAACTGGCCGAATTTTCACTCAGCGTGACTATTATAGTCCCTCCGGTTGCGGCCAGCGCGCCTGCAGCGCCACCGCTACATGTTGGTTCCCTTTCCCACCGAGAGTCCTCTGTTAATGACCGCAGCCGCCCCCGCGTGGGGCGTGGCCGGGCGTGGCCCCTTCACCTGGCCAGCTTGCCCCGCTCGCTCGGCGTGCGTTACGGCGTCACCTGGCTTGCTTTTCACAGCGGCCTGGAAGACTTGAGGAGGCGGTCAAAAACGCGGACGCGTTTTGAGCTCTAGAGTCGCTAAATGTGTCTCGGACCGAACGTGTGACCCCACCAATGGATTGCTCTCCGAACGAGGAATCCATTAGTGGCGTCACACGCTCGGCTCGAGTCTAGTTTAGCGACTCTGGCGCTCAAAACGCGTCTAGAGTTTCGGCCGCCCGCGCCGTTCCCCTGGTCCACTGTGCAGTGCATCGCGGCACGTGTGGCGGTGGCGCACCCCATCAAAGCGAGCCGCGGCAACAACACTAAGTGCATTACCAGCCATGCAAGGCGGGGGCGGCAAACACCCCGACGGCGCGCTCGGGACGCACCTGCAGTGGCGTGGGCTCCGCTGCACGACGAGGCAGCGTGCGGCAGCGTGTCTGTGTCAAAACGCGAAGGATGTGCCTCACGAGGCTGGCAAGGTCGAGCGCGTGAACCCAAAAGAGGGCTCGAACGACAAAAAAGGCGCCTGGAGACAACATGCCCCTTGCAGTGAAGACAAAGAAAATCCCCACTCTCGAAACTTTTCAAACTATTTCAGACACTCGATTTTCTTGCCGGGTAGCCCGGCCTCCCGCGGGGCGGGTCGCGCGTGCCCGGCCGGGCGCACTGGCGCGGCCTCGGCCCCACCTTGACCGACGAGGCCAGTCGCGGTGCGCGGAGTGCGGAGCCGCGCGGAGCGGTGAAAGGAGGAAAGAGGAACGCAGATTGGAGTGGCTGGCGGCGGCCTGGCCGCGGCCTGGCGGGAGTTGCGACTCTGAAGAGTCAGGGCCAAAGCCAATGCCACGGCACTGCCACGGCACTGCCACGGCAATGCCACGGCAATGCCAGCGCCGTGACAATGACGGCAAAGAAAAAGGGAATGCGGCTGGAGTCGAGCGCTCTGGCACTTGTCTACGTTTTGCGGCCTTGCAGTGAGGGCGCCGTGGTGTATCTTGCTCTTCGCGGCCAAGCGGTGGGGGCGTGGGGCGGAGGCGGGGCGGGGCGGGGCGGGGCGGGGCGGGGCGGGGCGGGGCGGGGCGGGGAGGTCCGTCCTGACAGTTCGGCGGCGCTCCGCGGCACGAGGCGAGTCCCCAAATACCTGCACTGTATCTGCACTGGCGGTGAGGCCGACGCTACGCGACTTCTCCGCCGCGATGTACGCCACAGTGTGGCGGTCCGGCCGCACGTTTGGCGCACTGTCAACTTGGCGTGGCGTGGCGTGGCCTGGCGCTCGTCGAGGGGCAACGGGCAACCGACTTCGACGCCTGCCACAGTGTGCCACGGTGTACCACGGCGCGGTGGCGCTTCGCGTTGCTTCGCGTTCCGCTTGGTTGGCCTCGGCCTGCCAAAAATTGACCGCGCGCCGAGCGAGAGCGAGAGCAGGCACACCGGGCAAGGCGGCGGTCGAAACTCTGACGAATGTGCAGGAATCGTGTTGCGGGCTAACTTTTGGCGGCCACTGCGTCCGATCCAAGCCGGGAAATCATACGCCCTCGACGGGCGGGGCACAGTGGGCCAGAAGACCGGCGCCGGCGGCGGAAACTCGAGACGCGTTTCGAGCTCCAGAGTCGCTAAATGGGACTCGAACCAAGCGTGTGACCACCTATAGATTCCTCGTTCGGAGAGCAATCCATTGGTGGGGTTACACGTTCGGTTCGAGTCCCTTGACGACTCTGGAGCTCAAAACGCGTCTAGAATTTTGGCCTCCTCCGCCGGTCTTCTGGCCCACTGTAGCCGTAATGTTGGTCAAAACGCTTGTGGGTGACCGGGACGGGGGCCATAGTGCTGGGGCTCCCTCCAGCTCGCTAGGGTCCCCTTCAGAGCTAGCATAGCAATAAGCCGCCAGGTACTGCATAATTCCAGTGCCATTGATACCGCATGCAGGCTAAGCCTCGCCTCGCCCCGCCCCGCCCCGCCCCGCCCCGCCCTCCCAGATTAACAAGGGCTACTTCGGGCACTACCCCTTCATCCCCAGTACCTTTGCCTGCCTTCGGTGGAGCGCTGCTGGCCCGTCATGAATGCTTTCACCGGCACAGGCTCCTTGGGCCAGACGGCTGACTCCGAACCCTGCTCCGTCGCTCCGTCTCTCTCGCACCCCTGCGGCACTCCCCAAGAGAGTGAGAGAGACGGAGCACACCGTTCGGAGTCGCAGGCCGCAGGCCGCAGAGACACGCTGCTTCTATTCACGGGCTCGGCCGCAGCAGTCCAGCCCGCACGGCGCAGCACGGCGCACGGCAACGCAGCGCTCGCAACTTCCAGCAGGTGTCCCAGGCCACCGTTTCGGTGTGTGCTTGTCCGCGGGGCTGGGCGGGTCGTGGGGCAGCCGGGTCAATGCCGCTCCGGGTCCTTGCCGTGGTCCTGCCGCCAAAGGGATGGGCTGTGTCCACCCAGTCCACCCTGCACGTCGTGGCGCCATGGTGGCGCACTGGGCAGTATAGTACCGGATGGACTGCTGCAGGGGGAGGGTAATGCAGGTGAATATTGTGTGTGTGTGTGTGTGTGTGTGTGTAGATGTGTGTGGGGGTTACCTTGATATCCACATGAAAGGTAGGAACCACAAGTTCCCCCTGTAAGTAGGCCAAAAGTGCTACTTCCCCCCCCCCTCCTCTTTTCTCTGGATCCGCCATTGATGGACCATCGTGCACAATTGGGACGAGGCACGAAGGTGTTTGACGGCGGACTATGGAACGTGTCCAGCGTCTAATCGGGGTCTTCTGGCTTGCGGTGCTGCGGACGGACAGACGGATAGATGGACAGATGGACAGACAAACAGACAGACAGACAGACAGACAGACAGACAAACAGACAGACAAACAGACAGGCAGACGGGCAGACAGACAGACAGATCGACAGACACACGGACGGACAGACAGACAGACTTCGAGTGCGGGACGGGCAAGCCGCGAGGAGATCGTCGGAGCGCGTATCCAGCTAGCTGTCCGTGGCGATGATGCGCCGGGAGGGGGAGGGGAGGGGGGGAGGGGGTTCGGGTTTCATTCACGGCTTCCTGTTCATTAATTAATGACCGCGATGACTACTGGGCGGCTGGCGCAGGCTGGCGCGGCTTGCGCTGCACAATACCAATCCTCGCTGCTCCTTCGCAAACACAATCCGAGCTCAGTCGTCGCTGCTTTGTGCCGCCGGCCGACACCAGGCCACTGGCGCCACTGGCCCACTCCGCGCGGTGCATCGTCTCGCCGTCTCTCTCGCACACCGTCGCGGAGCGCCCCGTGAGTGCGAGAGAGACAGAGGGCACCGTTAAGGCGGCAGGTACCCGACGGGCGACCGCCGCCGGTGGGAGGAGGTGCGCATTAGCTGCTCAACGGGGTGCTTCTAGAGGGACGCGGCAGGGGCGGACCAAAACTAAGAAACCTCAGAAAAACATTGTTCGCCAAAAATTAATTGGTGTGGGTACTCTGAAAATTGATGACCATTTCAAAACTGATTTTTTTTTACAAGAATGTCACCAAAACAGTTGCAACTTTTACGCCCATGCAACGAGTGTAGGGAGCTTTGATAAAAACGTCATCAATTTGTGACGCGATTGTCATCATTTGAAAGTGATGAAAATCTCGTCTACAATTGTTTCGTAAAGTGGCTACAATATTTAACAGTGAGGGCCCGCCCGCGGGCTGCTCTTTATGTCATTATGGCAGTGGCGTGGCAGTGGCGTGGCGTGGCAGTGGCGTGGCAGTGGCGTGGCGTGGCAGTGGCGTGGCAGTGGCGTGGCAGTGGCGTGGCAGTGGCGTGGCAGTGGCGTGGCAGTGGCGTGGCAGACGCATGGCAGACGCATGGCAGCCCTGCCTGTCGCGGGGCACGCCACGCTTAGCGCACACAGGGCTGCCAACTGGTTTCGCGTTACACTAGCAGCACACTGATTCCGAAAGTCGTTTTCGATGCTCCGTCCTCTCTCGCACCCGTGGGGTGTCCCGTATAGGTGCGAGAGAGAGAGAGGCAGGACGATGAAAACCACTCTCGGAATCAGTCTGCTGCTGGTAAGTTTCGCACACGCGAGCAAGTGTCCCCCCCCCCTCTCCAGGCCCATTCAGCGACGCATGTCAGTCTCCGCAATGTCGCGCCTGGATTGCTATGATTGCGGCCATTCGCGCACTGCTGCCAACTCTCTGCCGTAGGTTCGGAACGCACATTGCGCCAGAAGACCGTGGAGGCGGCCGAAACCGCGGACGCGTTCTGAGCTCAAGAGTCGCTATACGTGACTCGAACCGAACCAGTGACCCACACCAATGGATTCCTCGTTCGGAGAGCAATCCATTGGTGGGGTCACACGTTCGATTCGAGTCCCATTCAGCGACTCTGGAACTGAAAACGCGTCCGGGATTTTGACCGTCCCCACCGGTCTTCTGGCCCACTGTAGCCCTGCCGCTGCCCGGGAGGCAGTCCGCCTTGTCCGCCAGCGTGGCCGGCCGTGCCTGCAGGACCGCTGCACGTGCGTCGCGGCGCTCTCTGTACTTTTAGATAATATCACTCTCCGGGCCCCTCGGAAAAAAGGGGGCGAGAAAAAAGGTAATATTAAAAGAGCGCCGCACGCTCGCGGTATGTAATACCGTATATGAAAGTTCCAAAGTGGGGGAAGTTTGGGCGCGCTTCTCCAGTGGCCGACAGACAGGGCCGACAAGGGAGTCCTGTTGTTATTACACGCCGAGTCGCGGAGTGCAGCCCGTCCGAATTCCCGCTGAAAGGGGAGGGGCTCAAAGTAACCGCACGACGCGGCTGCGCAGCGCAGCGGGCAGATTCCGAAGACGGAGCGTTTGTCGCTCTGTCTCGGTCACACCCATGGGGGGTCCCGTAGGATTTGCGGGAGAGGGAGAGGGGGGGTGAGAGAGAGAGGAGAGAGAGAGAGAGAGAGAGAGAGAGAGAGAGAGAGAGAGAGAGAGAGAGAGAAACGAGTGTTACCATGAACACAAAGGACCTTTATTCCACACCATAAACATAAACGTAATACTATTTTGGGGCCAAATGAGACAAAATTCGAACAAAATTCCAAAAGTGGGATACTCGCATAATACAACACAATACCGAGTAGTCTGTGCACGATTCCTCGAAGTGTTGACCCCATCGGCGACGAAGTAAGCGTTCCTCAGTCCGCTGCGCTGGATCCCGAGAGAATGCCTACAAGTCCAGTGGCAAAGGGAGGGAATTAGCGTCTGGACAGCACGGGGTGGATCTCCCCCCGCACAGTGCGCCAGAAGACCGGCGCCGGCGGCCAAAATTCTAGACGCGTTTCGAGCTCCAGAGTCGCATAACTGAACTCGATCTGAACGAGTGACTCCACTAATGGAATCCTCGTTCGGAGAGCGATCCATTGGTGGGGCCACACAATCGGTTCGAGTCTCATTTAGCGACTCTGAAGGCCAAACCCTTCAGAGATTTCGATCCCCTCCACCGGTCTTGGCCATAACTGTGCTCCGTCGCCGCTGGCGTTGATAACAGCCTTTTCTCAACCTTTGCACAGAAAAAAATCGTAATAATCGCAAAGTAAAGACTGCAAGCGGAAATTGCGCAAACGTGGCGGGGACGTGTATAATGAAATGAGTGGTTTTAATTTATTCGACTCGCCAGCAAGGCCGATGAAAAACAGCAAACCCAGCAGAGCTTCGAAGGGGGCGAGAGAATATGCTCGGATCCCGTGGGCTGGCCCCATCGGCCAGCAGCAGACTGAGAGGGGCTTTGGTCGCTCTGTCTCTCTCGCACCTAAACGGGACGCCCTGTGAGTGGGAGAGAAACAGACCGACGGAAACGACTCTCGGATTCAGTCTGCAGTTTCGGTCTGCACGGCTTTTGTCGCGAGCTGCACAAACTATTCTACTCAGCACGTCGACACTATTCTCGTCTCTGTGCACTCATTGCGCGTTGCTTGCGAGACAACGCGTGGAAACGCTGTGCGGAGTAAAGTCAGCACGGGCACAGCCTCCACTCAGAAAATCGCCCCGGCCCGCGTGACTTCATTTCCCTTGAGTGCACACGCACCGGAGTCTTGACGAATACATTTCGCGGAATCGCATTTTTAAAAAGAAAAAAAAGACACTGCCTAAAGTTTCCGTGTTGCACAGGCTATAGTCTGGATCGAAGGTTTCGTTCAAGCGATCACGTTTGGCGAGGTCAAGGAGGACACACCGTTAAAGCGACTGGGCAAATTTGTAACAGGAAAACAAAAAAAAATGGAGGCCGGACAGGGTTAGAGAGTAAATTTGCAAGTGTGGTGGCCGAGTGCGTGGTGCATGCGGAACAGGTGGCTCCACTCTTGTTCAAACAGAGAACCGGTGCGTTTAATTTGCAGTCCCGCAGAGATGGACGGGACACTGTGGGCCAGAAGGCCGGTGGAGGCGGTCAAAATCCCGGGCGCGTTTTGAGCTCCAGAGTCGCTAAATGGGACTCGAACCGAACGTGTGACCCCACCAATGGGTTGCTCTCCGGACGAGGATTCCATTGGTGGGGTCACACGTTCGGTTCGAGTCCCATTTAGCGACTCTGGAGCTCAAAACGCGTCACAGATTTGGACCGCTGCGCCGGTCTTCTGGCCCCCTGAGTGGGAGAGTGAAAGAACTTGGGCATACGGACCTCGTGCCAGTAAAAACCGCACCGAATCGCAAATTCGCGCCAGGGGGGAAACTTTGAAGGAATAACAATGCGTCCGTCCATTTTATTTTATTTAAAATTCCGCCGTAAAAATTAACCCAGGTCTCTCTCTACTTTTTAAATTTTAACGTATTCTGAAAGACAGACGGTGCGATGCATGCGGGCTCGGAGGGTGTTCCTCTGGAATTGTGGCGAACGCGGCCAACGCGGCAAACGCTACCCCCCCTCCCCCTCCTCCCCATACCCTCCGCACCGAGGTGGCCGCCAGAGCGGCGTGGTGTGGAGCGGTGCAGAGCGCAGGACAAAAGCCGTGGGGAACTTCGATTTGGCGTGTGCGGCGCGCGCGGCGCCCCGCGTGAGAGGAAGGGGAGGGGGGGGGGGGGGGGGGCAGAGGCAGCGAGACGTGAGGCTATGCGACCAGACGGACAATAATCAAGCAAGGTAGACAGACACGCGAAGTTGGTCGTGGTCGGGCCACTGCTGGCTGCTTTTTGAACCGGGGCTGCTCCACTCGACGCCCACCCCTGGCCCCTGGCCACCGCTCAGTGGGCCAGAAGAGCGGTGGTGGCGTCAAAAATTCGAGACGCGTTTTCAGCTCCAGAGTCGTTAAATAGGACTCGAACCGAGCGTGTGACCCCACCAATGGATTCCTCGTTCGGAGAGCAATCCATTGGTGGGGTCACACGTTCGGTTCGAGTCCTATTTAGCGACTCTGGAGCTCAAAACGCGTCAAGAATTTTTTCCGCCTCCACCGGTCTTCTGGCCCACTGTGCGCCGTGGCTCGCCCCCGCACTCTGCGGACAGACCTCCACAGTGCTCCCTGCCCCTGCCCCGCCCCGCCCCCACAGCGTCGTCCACCAGCCAGACGAAGCGCTTCAAGAATATATATTTGTCGCGTCGATAAGGGCCGGCAGGAAGCGGCCCGTAGGAGAGTCGCCTCTCTCGCACTCGTGGGGCGTCCCGAGCGCGAGAGAGACGGCGACGAAAACGACTCCGCTGGCTGCCTCTGGCCGCCGGGGGAGTCCCTCGGTCCCTCTCCGCTCCGCGGGGCGCAGCAAAAAGCAAAGCGCAATAGCGCACCGCCACTGTTAATTAGTTTAACGCGCGCCGTGCGGCGACGCCGGCGACCTCGCTTCGGCAGCGTCTTTCCCGGCTAATCTTCCCTCCCGCAGGCCGGGACCGCGAACCAGGACGCGGCCCCGGGCGCGGCATCGCCGTCGTACTCCCTTTTTAAAAGGAACTCCGCGCGAGAAAAAGTTTGCGTCTGTCTGACGGGACTGGTGCCCCCGGGTACCCTTTGTGCTGCAGGCCCGCGGGCCGCACCCGGACGGCCCCGCGGACGGCGAGGACCTCGGCGAGGACGGCGCGGCCCCGCATGCCATGGAGCGCTGGAAGCGGCGGATGCTGCTGCTGCTGCAGCGCCGGGAGGCCGCCGCCATCCGCCGCCCCCGCGCCGTCTCCGCCGCCCCCGCCACCGCCGACGACGCCGACGTCACCTGGGGCGCCGACATCGCCGACATGAACCGCACCGCGGCCGCGGACCGGGGCCTCCGGGCGACCGAGGCGTCGCGGACCGCCCACCTCCACGGCGGCGCCGTCCTGGACACGGCCAACAAGTGCGTCGAGTACTACGAGCACCGCGACCGGCCCGGTGAGTGCAGCAGCAGCGCGGCGGAAGCATTGCCGCTCTCTCTCTCTCTCTCTCTCTCTCTCTCTCTCTCTCTCTCTCTCTCTCTCTCTCTCTCTCTCTCTCTCTCCCCTCTCTGCCCTCGTAAAATGGCCTTAATTAAATTTAATAAATGTTATATTAAATCTTTATTAAGTTTTCATTAATATTTAACAAATACCAGTTTTATAAAATTTAATTAACTTTAATGAAGTTTCTTATTAACTTTTGTTAAGGGCCCGTTAATAAGGCCAGATTGGTGAAGCAGCTACCAATAATGCATCCAGGTAGCACGTCATAGGCTCTTTCCGTTAACAAAAACTAGTTAAATATTGTTAACATTAACAAGTTTTAATTCAATTTTTTGGTTTTAATTAAAATCTTTTAATAAAATCCCTTGTTAAAGTTAAAGTAATTTAATTAAAGAAGTTTTGATTAAAATCGGGCAACGTTTGAACTGGTTCGATAATTTCGGATGGATGTTCGACAGAGACCCTCAGGCTGGGTCAGATCCCCCTAGACACCTGCCTAAAGGAACCAAGTCAAAAATCAGGAGGTCGGACTCCTCTGAGCGCGACTGGTTCAGAAGGATCCGCCTGCGCACCTTATGCTAGCGGCTATGCTAGTGAACTCCGCGAGCTAAGGGATTGAAGTAGACTGCAGCGCCATCTAGCGGCATACAAGTTTTTATTAAATTTAATTAAATCTTGCATTCATAGCACTGACTTAACATTATCGTATTTATTGCCTTGAAAAGCGCGTGCTTGATGTCGATGCTCAATTAATGGAAGCCAGTCCCTTTCCTCGCTTTTGTCCCGTTCAATTCACGCTGTTCACGAAGACAAGCCTCTAAACTTATTGACATGATTAAATTAGATCGTAACATAATCCGTTAACTTAATCCAGGGCAAGTGTTCACTTTAATCAAAGAAGTCTTTAATTTAGGAACATCCGTAACAAACTCAAATTAAACACCGAACTAAACTTAACAAGACCGTCCAATGTTGTTAAAGTTAATTACAAACGAGTTTAATAAAGAAATATTTTTAACAAACATTAATGTAAGGTTCAAATTAAATTTTGTTAGATCATTTTTTTAATAAATCCAACTAATAAATTTTTGTTAAACACGGCAATTTAACAAAAGAAGTTTAATTAAAGTAGACGATTTAATTAAAAGTTGATTACTTTTAACAAAACTTTAACAAAAATTTTATAAAATTTAATTTAACGTTTTTACGAGGGATGGCGATCTCGGGTACCTGTTTCACCTCACGCACTCACCCTCGTGGGCGAAGTGAGCCAAGTCGGCAGACCAGAAACAACCGCGTTTGCCGCGCGTCGCCGAAAGAGTGCCCGAGTGGCGGAGTGCGACTCTCGCTGTTCCGGCCGCCCCCTTCTATTCCGACGCGGCCCGCTAAAACGTCAGCAGCAGACGCATGAGAAGGCTATCTCTGGATCGCGTTTTCGGTATAATAATCACACTGGGTTTCCGGTATTCGTTTCCGGCTCACCAATTATTTTCGACAGAAAGCAAAAAGGAAAACTCGGAGGGGGGGAAATGATAAAAATGGAGTGCACTGAGTATACAACTCCGCCCCATCCGGCCGGCGGCCGCTGTCCCACAGTGGGCCAGAAGACCGGTGGACGCGGCCAAAACTCTAGACGCGTTTTGTGCTCCAGAGTCGCTAAACAGGACTCGAATGGAACGTAAGACCCCACCAATGGATTCCTCGTTCGGAGAGCAATCCATTGGTGGGGTCACACGCTCGGTTCGAGTCCCATTCAGCGACTCTGGAGCTCGAAACGCGTCTAGAGTTTTGGCCGCCTCCACCGGTCTTCTGGCCCACTGGGTGTCCCCGCGGTCCCCGCTGGCAGCGAGGACGTGACGATCGACGGCCTTGAGAGAGGCACGCACAAACACGGGTCCTCGACGCCGTCCGCCGCGCGCCCCTCACAGTGCCCCTCACAGTGGCGCTCTAATAACACGAGAACAACAGCGCGCTGCCTGCACTGCAAGCGCCGAGCGGCGCCGCCCGAGCCCCTGTCATCCTGCGGGTGGGCCAGCCCGCCGCGGTCGCACGCCAGCCGGGTGGCCTACCCGCTGCATCGCAGGGGCCCGGCCCGCTCGGCCCGCTCGGCCGCGCATCGCAATGGATGCAAGGACGGATCCGGAGCCGCGAGAGGGGAGGCGAGAGGGGCGCCCGCACTGAAAAATAAAGTGTGTACCCACTGAAGTTTACAGTCCGCAAAGGTTGCCTACCTACTAGGGTGAAGTGTGAGTCTTGTTGCCTACCTTTCGCGCAGGTATAAACATGTGGACGGGATGGGGCACCGCGGCGGTGTGTGTGTGTGTGTGTGTGTGTGTGTGTGTGTGTGTGCGACAGTGAGTGTGTGTGTGTGAGAGAGAGAGAGAGAGAGAGAGAGAGAGAGAGAGAGAGAGAGAGAGAGAGAGAGGTGGCCGATGGCATGGCGGCGTAGCGGCACTGCAAAAAGTGGCCTGGTGGCTGTACGTTACGGTCGGCAGCCCTTGGCGTGATCCCTACAAAAAGTTGACGCTGCCTCAGGGCAAGTGTGTGTCTCGCGGCGGGATGGGGGCGGAGGGAGGGAGAGAGAGGGAGGGAGGGGGAGAGAGAGAGAGAGAGAGAGAGAGAGAGAGAGAGAGAGAGAGAGAGAGAGAGAGAGAGAGAGAGAGAGAGAGAGAGAGAGAGATAGGGCGCCTACATTCCTGCCTCCAGCGCCAACCCCCGCGATTCCCACGTTTTTAGCATGCCCAGATTCCGGTGTAAATTATTCGTGCTCACGTGAGATAGATATCGGGCGTATTCTAATGCTCGCAGCAGCCCGCCGGGTTGATTTTGAGACCCGTGGCCGGGCCGGTGTGCGGGGGTGTGGGCCCGCCGCCGGCCTGATGAGGAAAACACGCTGGATTCTGTTCATTTTATAGGCCACCTTTTACCGTTGTTCAATATCCCGTCCCGTCTTTTCGGTAAATATTTGGACAGGATCAACCGTACTTCGTACGATTTATCCGTCCCCACATTTTTGGATTTGATGAATCTCTCTCAAAATTGCGGTAAATTCTGGATGCTGGAGCACTGTGAAGGCTAAGTAGGTTTTCCACGTTGCTTCCCCCCCCCCCCCCACACACACACACTATTTTTTTTTTTGTGAAAAAGTTTGTACGCACAGGCACTTGTGTGCTTTTCGAAAAAATTGGTACGCAGTTTCGCCCGAACTTGTGCGATCCTAGGTAGAAATTATAGTACGAAAAATTTGACATGTACAATTGGGCCCGCGCGTACAAAACTGTATGCAAATAAGTTCGCTGTGTAGCACGGGCGCGCGCAATGGATTCGCTCGCATAATTGTTGCAGGCGGAAGTATCGGGCTCAATACCAGCAGACCGGTTCCGAGTGTCCTATTCGTCGCTCTGTCTCTCTCGCGCCCTTACGGAGAGCCCCATGAGTGTGAGAGAGACAGAGCCACGGAACGATCCTTCAGGCGGCGATTGAGAGCGACGGACGGCTTGCCGCGACGCTTTCCTCGCATTTCGAGGCCGTATCCCCGCGGGGCCCCTTTCAAAACCGCCGCGCCCCGCGCCCCCCGCCGGCTCCGGGGAGCAAATAGATTAGACGCGGATCCGATAAGTCTCGCCCGGATTCGGACACAGTCTGAGAAACCCGGCTGCGCTGCGCACTTACGGTGTAGCTGCCGCACAGTGGGCCAGAGGGACGGTGGGGGCCGTCAAAATCCCGGACGCGTTTTGAGCTCCAGAGTCGCTAAATGGGACTCGAACCGAACGTGTGACCCCACCAATGGATTGCTCTCCGAACGAGGAATCCATTGGTGGGGTCACACGTTCGGTTCGAGTCCTGTTTGGCGACTCTGGAGCTCTTAACGCGTCTAGCGTTTTGGCCGCCTCCATCGGTCTTCTGGCCCACTGTGTTGCTGTTTCCCCCGCGTGCCCGCCACAGCCGCGAGCCACGAGGCGCAAGGCCTACTCCTTCCCCAAGAAGGCCGACCGAAGCAACAACCCGACGCCCCGAAATCAATTGGATTCGTTGTGCGTGCCGGGCGCGGCCGGGCCTCGGGTCGGGCGCTGCTGGGGGCGGCGGCGTCGTGTTTCTGATATCCGCGCGGAGGAAGCGGGGCCAGCTGCCGCCCTGCGCGCCCAGCGCGCCCTGCCGACTTGCTTCAAAACAAAAACAGAAAGCTCTGCGAGAGGAAGAAAACCAAGGCGAGAGAAAGCAAAGTCTCTGCGTGGCGGTGCGGCGCGGTGCGGCGCGGTGCGCGCAGCGGGGATGCCGAGGTGAAAACCTCCAGGCTTGGCTCAGCCCGGCTCGGCTCAGTCGGACGGCCTGACGGTCTCGTTACACAATGTGGAGGGCATCGCGACGAGCCCTGAGACCCCCCAGTCCCCCCTCAGCGCCCCTCAGCGCCCCTCGGCGAGGGGGTATGCGCTCTCTGAACCTGTGTACCGACTATTACGCTATTACGCTCTATTACGCCACAAATTAATCGGAATTTAGTTAAAAACGGCCTAAAACACACCAAAATTGATAAAATTTTGACAATTTCGGCTATTACGCGACTATTACGCGTATTATTACGCGTGCTATTACAGATAGAGTGAACCGACTATTACGCGAGTGCATACCCCCTCGCCCCTCGGGCTCTCGGTCGGATCCCCGGCGGCGTGGCGGCGTGGCGCGCCAGCTTCGACAGCCCCGCGCCTCGCGACCCGCGCAGCGTTGGAAGCGCGCGAATATTGGCCGGCAAAGTTTGAACCAGAGGCCAGGCAGGCAGCCAGGCAGGCAGCCAGGCAGGCAGGCAGGCAGGCAGGCAGGCAGGCAGGCAGCCAGGCAGGCAGCCAGGCAGGCAGGCAGCCAGGCAGGCAGGCAGGCAGGCAGCCAGGCAGGCAGCCAGGCAGGCAGGCAGCCAGGCAGGCAGGCAGGCAGGCAGCCAGGCAGGCAGCCAGGCAG